GGGGGGGGGGGGGGGGGGGGGGGGGGGGGGGGGGGGGGGGGGGGGGAGGGGGAGGGGTTTTCCGCTCGCCGGCGGCGGGCGAAGACCACGCGGGAAGAAATGGTAAGGGGGGGCGAGGTACACATGTTGCACGCCCTAGAGGTGACCACGCGTCATCGAGAGTTGGATGGAACATTGTTCCCGCTGGACTGATCACCGATAGCCAGTTATTGATGTGTGTGGGGGGGTGCTCATGTTCCGCATGCCTTAGAAGTGACAATGCGCCTCGGGAGAACGGAACGTTGGTACCACAGGACCGATCACCGATAGCTGCAGGGGGGCTTTGTGGTCATGTTTTGCATGCCTTTGCGGTTGACCCATTGACCACCCGTCCTCGAGAGTAGGACGAAAGATTGTCCCCACAGGGCCGGGGGTGGTGCGGGTGTACAGTTAGCACCCGCACTTGAAGAACCTGGCGATGAAGAAGAAACTGCGCCCCGAGGAATTCATAACATGGGGCCTTGGGCACCGCTTGAAGGCTCGGTTAAGACCCCCCACACTAAAACCTGGTAACTACTGCAGCGGCCATTCGCAGCGTATCCCTGGGAACTAAGGACCCCCGCCTCGGTCAAACCTAGAGGTTCTTCGTTTCGGTGCGTGCGCGAGCTGTATTTATAATGTTGGCGCATGACGTACTGTATTCGTTAGACCATAGACCTCGCACCCGCACACATTGCCGGGACGGAGCGAGATGCATATACTGGGTTTTCGCCGGCCCTACCCACGCTGCGTTTCACAACGATGAGCCAGGAGCGCGTTGGTTGTCATCCTTCCTTGCCTTTGCTGTGCCAATCCAGATATGCCATGGGGTGATTGGACTGAAAATGACGGGGTGGGGTCGTTCATCATCATCATGACACCGGGCGCGCTTTTGCCCTCCCACGATGTTCCTGGGTGACGTTGTTGCCACCAATTTTCACTAGGGAGGGGATGTTTGTATGTTTCATTTATGTTTTTGCTCTCTGTTTTGTTCCTTTATCCCTTCTCTTCGCGCCCCGCCGCCCCCGTCGTTGCTGTCGTCAAATTGGCAACCTGTTTGGGACGTCCACATACCGAGTAGCCATCCACCAATCCCAAGCGTTGCCCAAAAATTGCGAAATGGCATATTTGCGCGAGCTGCAATAACTCAGTGGCCATGTTTTAAGGCGAAGATAACCCCGAGAACGACACAGGCATGAAGGTGTAGGGACTTGGACAGCTTCGATAGCGTCCACAACCCAGCAGGCGTCATCCAACCCTCGCCGCGAAGACTTCCATCAAGTGACCCCTCGAGAATATCCCCCTAGGGGGTACAACTAGTCTGTTCTGTATTTTACGCACGACAGCGTTTTTTGGCGTGTTTTTTTGGCGGTAGTCTGTTCTGCGCTGTATCTATCTACCATGGGTATGTTCTCAAAATCTCATGTTCTGTTCCCCCGCGCGCGCGCGCATGGATGGTGGCGGCCTCGTGGCTGCTCCGCGGGGTGCATCCGGGGGGGGGGGGGGG